TTACTGTGACTCAGGCGGGTCTACAGTTTAGTCAATTCTATCTTTTATCTGAGTTTACAGTAAAACTATCGTAAATTCAGCAATATTTCATGGAAAAGAATCCTCTTTTCAGTGACACTGAAACTGTCTCAAATGTATAAATTCATTTATAATTAAGTTGCTTGATTCACTTTTCAATGCTTTTTTGTTTTTTTCTTCCTCAATGTGTCCAGGAAAAGTGATGTGTGGCAGTTCACAGCAGAAAAAAGGAAAAAAATTCTCTTTTGAATGAATCCATGTTTCATACCTTTACTTTTTTTTTCTAAATTAATTTTCTTATCTCTAAATCAATCATGATGGGTCTTGCGTCTTGCCTGAATGCAGTTTAAGGACCAAAAACAGAGGAGGGAAGCTTAAGATGAGGCATATTTCTACTGCCCTCAAGTGTCCAGTGAGGGAACAGTTTAAAGCCGTAAACCAGCAGGTATCAGACACTCTGACACCATCCATTACCTGCTGGACCGTTGTGGGATGTGTGAGAAGTGATGAAATATGAAGCTGCTACTACATTTACAGACTCTGATGGCTAGTCTGTCAGTTTTTTGGGGGGGATAACGGATGGGATGTTTGCGCAGAGGCCTCTGCAGAATGATACCCGCCTGCCAGGAAACCTGCAGCATTGAATTCTTATGCTCGATCTGCATCGCTATCAGACGGAGGAAGACCGACTGAGCTTTTCACAGAGCTCGCATTAGTCAGCCCAACACGGAGAAAGAATAACTCCAGGCTGGGAGATTTAGTCTCCGATGGTTTTCAGAGCCCAGAAAGAATGAATGTATGAATGTGTCATGAACAGAACTGAACTTCAATGACGTGTTTGATAGCATGCAGATTTTTAGAAGTCTTGCAACGAAACCGATTGCATTGTTTTATTCTTTCACTTCTACAACTGTCATGATAAAGTGTCATGAATTTAAACTCACGTGATATACTTTAAACCTGTGATCAGGCTGGAACTGGAGGCTTTTTTTCAGGTAAATCAGCGTCTCATATCTCACGTTACGGCCTTTCCAAAGCCACGGAGCAGCATAAGGTGATGTTTATGTAAATACCTAATTAGATACAGAATTCATTACAAGCGTACTTCATTTGGCACTCACTGGGGAAAACAATCCTAACAATATAAACTAAAAAAGATGTAGCCTACATTTTACGATTAAGAGCTGAGTCATGTTGCACCGATCCTGCAGGGAAGTGTAAAAGAATTAATTAGGAACTAATTCAAGTTAAACAATTCCACATCCTCTCCGAGCAACCCGGCACTGATTCATCATGTTGCCATAGTGGCAAGAAAATCTGAGTCAGACCTTGAGACTGCCAACTCTTAAAATGCCTCATGATGGTAAATTGGTGGAGCCTCTTCCAATCCTGGGCTAGAAGCCAGAGAAATACATTTCCATGTTTATAAAATTAACAGAAACGTATCATCTCAGTTTTAAGAAGACAGAGGAAAAAAATCTCATCTGGATTTTTCCCCTCGGTTTAAATGGGAAAACCTCAATGAACGCTGAGTCATCAACATTAAACCAAAGTCTCACAAAGGCCACTTGACAGGCTGAAACCAGGTAAAACAAAGTGAAAAAGCCAACACAGAGGTGTCACAGACATCTGGTGAGGACCAAATATCAAAAAGGTTGTTTTTTCTCTGATGCCTTAAGCTAGAGATTTGAAAGTACCTCCAAAAATAAAATCCTGACCGGACTGTTAGCCGAGGATGCAGCTCCTGCGTCTCCAGTCAGAGAAAAGGTGCACTTTTGGGGGGGAGTCACATGACAAAGACACTGATGTCCAAAGGGAACTTGAAAGGAAAAATTCAGAATGCCCCAAACTAGAAAACCGTCTTCAGTCCATAACCAGTTTTGATGCAGCGCTTTTAACTGAGTCGTTCATCAAAGGCTCAGAAAGACACAAACCAAGTGTCTGTCTATCTCCCTCTGGGCTTCTATCAAAACAGGCCAAAGAGCAGACTTTTTATTTTGGTATTAATGTATTCTATTTGTTTGGAGAGCTGCACGTCTTCTCTTCTCCTCCCCAGCGGTGCGTCAGGACCTTCGGGGACCGCCGGGGGACCGGTCCGACATATGGCGGAGACGGAGGAAAGCCAGGCTGAGGACCCCGGTCTGTAGGTGTCTTCAAACGGGTTCTGTCACAGCGGTGCAACCCGAAGAATGAATAAAGCCTTTTTTTTTGCTTTCTTCTCCCTCCGCAGGTGTTTTCCCCTCAAAGGGATTTTCTCTTTTTAAAAAAGCCCCAGCGCCGTTTCACAACCCGAGCCGCTGATCATCGGAGAGCTTTCAAAGGGTTTCCAACCAGGGCAGAACCACTGGTAAAGCAGCAACTGGGCCAGAATGAACAGGTTGCTTCAGGATAACTGATAATACAAACATATAGACTTTCAGGAAACTGGATTTTTTAGTTGGAAGGGGATTTAAATGAGACTTTTTAGGCAATTATAAGGCCTAAGCTCTTTTAGGAACCTCACATGAAGTACATCAAGCAAACAAATGGCATGAAAGCATTGCTTTCATTAAAATGAAAACAATGCTTTCATTTTAAGCAATGCTTTCATTTTCATTCAAATTAAATCTTAAATGACCTGATTAGGTGCCACATGTAAGATTGAGAAGCTTACATTTTTCAAGTAAAGGATACAATAGAGATGACGTCAAACAAGAAATATCTAACCAAAGGCAGACCGCGAACCAAATGTTTTTTCAAGCTGATAGCAACATGAATAGATAAATAATGCATGTGGAAAAAGTGACTTCTTCTGGAAAGAACAAAAGGCGAAGGTGTAAATACATGTGCATTGATTTAACTGGAATAGATGTGTAAAATTGGAAAGAAAGGACAAATCACACCACTGAAACTGTTAAAGATGAAAAAAAAACTCAATGTGATATCTTGTCTGGAACATAAAAAGAGTATATCTGTAAGCTCTAATAATGGGTTATTATCTTTTTTCTTACAGAGTTCCCTCCAGTGATCTCAAGTCTAAGTAAAGACAGTGTCATTAGTGGAGTGCTTAGATTTTAAAATGCATTCTTTTTTGTTTCCATCTACTGATGCCAAAAAGCACATTTACTTCAAACGTATTGTGTACATCTACAGTACAACCGGCCTCCGATAGCTAAACGTTGTTTTCTTCTCTCTGAAGACATTTCCACCACGAGTGAATGCGGGAAAAGAGGAAAATAAATCAGAATGCATTTATTCTCAAACTTCCCACAGAGATCACAGACCTCCTGCGGCTCATCAGCCGAGCTGTTTAATCATTTCACATGGCAGTTTTTACTATTTTAAGGGCGTGCTTTTGATTGAAGTCGCCCTGCTGTTTACTTGCTTCTAAACTCTACTTTTAGATAACATAATCAGCTTGATATAAAACTATATATATCTATCAACAAATTAAACACCAGACCCCTTTATTTGTGTGCTACGGAGAATATAAATGCACCCGAACACGTCCACACCCACCAGCCACCCCTGAACTGAAGGACCTTTGTGGATTTTACTGTTTTAGGGGAGCCAATGAAACGTCAGATGTCACTCTGAAATAGTGAGTATCTGTTCATGTGCACTGGGAAATGAGGGTTTGGTAGTTTCTGTTCTCATTTTTCTACTCCTATGTATCTATTTGCTGCTAAGCTCTTATTCTTTAACTTAAATTTGGTAGAAACCTTTCTCCATTTGTTAAACTTTCTCTTTTATAAATCCTGTTTGTTTCCTTTTTCTAGACTTTGTAAGTATACACATTAAAAAAAACAATTTTCTTTCTTTTTATTTGTTGTTGTACTTGTTACAATGTCATTAAGGAATCTGATATTCATTTAAAATACCTTCAGACTTATTTGAACTTTTTTGGTTTCCCATTTGATCATTTTTATTGCCATTTCGCATTAATCTTGATGGGCTTATAGAAATTAAAGTCTTGCTTATTTTCTTTTCCAAATGCCCCTGATGTAGCTGGGCTGGCCTTCCTGGTAGTTTCACAGCCCTACCAGCTGTGTGGCTCCAACAGGCTCAGTCGAACAGGCCCTTTTTCTGCCACTGGGCAGGGGGGAGCGCTCTTACCCCACCTGAGATGGGCGTCCCGAACAGGAGCAGCATCAGAACTCTCTTTAACTTCTGCACCGAAAAGCTTAAGTGCTGTGAGGCCACCAGGGAGGCGCTGCGTTTGTGTGCTCTTAGCATCTGGACAGGAGTGTTGCATTAGCGGGCTGTTAGCCTCCACCCCCCCCCTCCCACCCGCCCCCCCGCCCCACGCCAGGTCAGCAGGCAGACAAAAGGAGGCTGGGGAGGAGACAAAATGCACCCAGGACTCCGGGAAAGGTCAGGGCTGTGAGATGATTGCAGGGCTTTCAATTTGTCTTGTTTTTTCTCAAACGATCAGAAGCGCTCAGAGGGGGCGGCGGCTCGGACGCTCTCCGGGGAGAGAGCGTCCACGCGCCTTTAATTGAGGTCTGCTGGAGCTGAAACACACGCAGACATGTTCAGCTCCTGGACGTGAGGTCAGATCTCAACGCCCGGCCTCTTATCGAGGGGCTTTAAGCTCGTTAGACGCCTCACCTCTGCCCATCAATGGACTCGGTCACTTCAGGACCTCCTCAATGAGGTGCCCTTTGATTCAGGAACACAAAGACCAACAGGAGGGTATAAACTGACCACCCGAAGGCAGCATGCCGGTCAGCATTTTGAAGGGATGCTCCTCCCAGATTTTAGACAGAACTGTTCTGCTTAGTTTTGTGCTGCTTCCTAACTCTCGACTTAAATCATATCAGATGGATTTTAACTACAAGATTAATAACTCACTTTTTTTTCCTTCCATTTTGGTTGGATCATTGTGGGTTTTTTTTTTACACTTCTTCGATTAGAGCCTTCATCATTGGGTGTGAAAAAGTACATCCTAAGAGCTGCTTCTCCGGTAAGTTTGAGCATGAAATTAATCACAGACGCCCAGCTTTTCCCCTGGTTGTTTTTTATTTGCAGTTCTTTACATTTTAGAAAAAGAATCCAAGGATTTTGCCTCCTGTGTGTTTCCGTCTGGCCTCTTCGTGGTCCATGATGCCAGCAGAGGTGGTCAGCACGATGTATCTGTGGAGCACAAACATTTGTGAGCCACCACTCCGCTGAGCACAGGACGGGAGGCTGCGGTCTGGGTGGAGCTGGACGCTCCAGCTGTGGGAGCTGTGGCCGGACTGCCCATCAGACTAGCGACTGACCCCGCAAATGAGCCACAAGAAGGCCCGATGAGCCTTCTGCTACAAGCGCCTCATTTAACGGAAACTTTAAACCCAATTACTAGCAAGTTAATGTGTGCCCTTCCCCAGGCGCCCAGCGTTGCATCAGGACTTAATGTTTTAAATAATTAACACATCAGAGCCTGACGCCTGCAGGAGGGGGGGGGGGGGGGGGCAACAACAAAACGGTGCAACTCTGAGGTAACTGCTCGGGTGGGAGTGAGACGACACCCCGACATTCTGCAGGTCTCAGCTGAAGCTGTCCTGCATCAGGGGCTCAAACAGGTGAGGCGAAACAGATTGCCTCTCCTTTCAGAGCCAGGGCCCATCCGAACTCTTCAGACCCTCACCTGACCCCTCTGAACATGCCCTCAAACATGAGAACTGGAGTCTGTCCACACTCTGAATGGTGGCACTAGATTTGATCCTTTCCCTTACCCCAGCCCCACACGGGCCGGGCAGACCCACGCAGGATGTCCCATAAACCCGCACTGCTTCCAGCTCCGTGTTTGTCCCCGTCTGAGCTATCAACAACGCTTGTTGTCACAGAAACTGTGAAGTTTAACCTCCACCGTTTCCCCGTATTTTAAGAGGCGGCTTCGCTTGACCGAATCTAATCGTTTGGTTTCCTGGCCAATCGGCCCCCGGCAGCCAGCCGTCGGCCCCACTGGCCTCGGTGGAACCCCGGCCAAAGGGCTGGGGTTTGGTGGCACCAGCGGAAAAGCAAAAATCCTCGAGGGGCGTGCTGGGTAGGCACCACTGGAAATGCACCAATAGCTGCAGCTTCTGGTATTCCCGTGCCTCTGGAGGCGTAAAGGTCGCCATCTGCACCATTTCTACCATTTTAGCTGCCCGAAAAACTGAAAACCAAATTGACCTTTTCTTCCCAGTGTTAATATCATTTCTAAATACTTCATGTGTTTTAACGTCAGGCTGCATTACTGGAAGCATCCGTCAAATTGTAGCAATCTTAAAAACAGGAGACACTAAATCTAATGACTTCACAGAAAGTCTTAAACCTCAAAAGCAAAGCTCTTTATTCTCAGAGACGTAATCGCATCATTTTGTGCTCCAACTGGGACACACTGATGGGATAAATCCCCAAAACGGCTCCCCGGGGGGAGCGCGGGGTGGAACCAGCCAGAAGACCTTCCTGCTGACTCTGCGCCGGCTCACATCGGAGTGGAAATCTAATGATGCCACCGACATTTCATTTTAGCGGCCGCACAAACCAGCCCACTCTGCTGACAGGTCCAGATAAACGGGTCAGCTCGGGTCCGCCGCACAGCGGACAGACTCAGGGGGCTCTGTGGGACATCTGGTCAGACCTCACATTACAGACACTTCCATGGTAGTAAAAACCACAGAGGCCTATCCCTTTGTTTTCCTTTTTCCAGGTATTAATCCAACGCATCCTTATTTTTCCACTGAAAGCGACCTTGCTGCTCGGGTTTCTGAGCCCTGTTTGAATCGGCCCAAAGCCGAGGCGGCCCTGCTGGGAGTGAGCCGCCCATCAGCCGACGGTTCACACTCAGCACGCCAACAGAGTTAGAATTAGATCCAGGAGGGAGCATCATGAAGGGGAAGGAGTGCCCGCCACAAATCATCTCGATACTGAAAATGAAGAGACCCACAGCACAGTCCCACACAGCTTTTCAGTCATCTTGGAGGTGTTCTCACCCAAACTGTCTCGAGGGGAGCAGGTTGTTCTGCCACTTCTCCAGATCCTTCAGCTGAAGGTCAAAACGTGGACTAATCACGCCGCACTGAAAGAGGGGGAAAGCACAGGTTTGTACCATGATGCCACACAGAAGATGCAACCTACTCTGTTACCTTTAGTTTTTCATGTCTCAGAGGATTGAGGTATTTTTTAAAAATGCAATAAAGATTAGACTAATTGCTCCCGTTAGCCCCGTCACCAGCATCCTCTCCAACTGATTTGCAGACATAATTGTCCATTTATCCTTCAAAAATGGTCACGATTACAAAGGATAGATGATCGCTACTCTTCACATTAAAGTGAAATGCTACTCTGATGCCGAAAAAAAAACTGCTTCAGAGCTTAAAACATTGCAATTCTATCCAAAAATGATCGAACCATACAGGCAGACAAAGTTGTCACATTGCCATCAGAAAAGCTTACCTTGTTAAGCCTTCCTGTTAGATTGACGACAATTTTTCCAGCTCTATGATCATCAATGATCTCAAACTCACCAATGTAACCTGGAGACACAAAAGGCAAAAGACCATCAGCGGAAGCATGTTGTGCCACCTTCACAGTCACATACTCATTTGGCTAATCAACTAGTGCAAATCGGTAAAAGAAATGTTTTTTAAAAACGCTCACCGTGCTTCATCATGACGGTTAGGAAGCGCACAATAACCTTGGAGCAGGGCCTGATGAGGACCTGGCGTTTCCCACGCTTCTCCGCATTGTTGATGCTTTTCAGAGCATCTGCGAGAACGTTCATGCGCACCATGATGCCTGCAAACATAAAAAAAACCCCAAACATCAGGCGTGGAATAGCTGTCAGCCTCAACACTTCTTCAGGACCGGTACTTTACAGGTATCTCCGTTTTACACTACGCCCATGTATACATTTAACTTTAAACCCAACATTATTTTCTAAGGAATCACATGATTGGATTTAACAGCGAAGATAAAGTGAGGGTCAAGTACATTTAGCAAAGCTTAGCTGGCATCAAACAAGCCAGGCAAATGTATCTATCCACGTCCTTCCATCTTAGTTTTTCATCAGTGAAGAGCTTAAAATGTGTACAGACTGCATCAGTCCGTCCAGTATCGTCTATAGATAATTTTCCATCACGGTAACTATCCGCAGTTATTAAAACACAATCCCCAACCAAAGCATGGTCCTTCATGAGCACAACCGATGCTACCTAGCTTAGCCGACTACGATAAGGTGAGAGCTGCCCCTACGGGTTCTAACGGCCGTCAATATGAACTGAATTGGAGCCGGTCGCCCATGTATTTTTACAGGAAACTTTTTTTTCGTATTTATTTATACGAAAAGAGACCATAAAATTGTAAACGAATATCTAGCTAATAACTGGCCGCCTTGAACGCACCGTTTTCCAGGGCCGAACGGAGTGGCTGATAGAGCAACTTGGTAGGGCAAATGCTCCTAAACCGTTTCACTGGTAAAGTCAATAGTTATCTCAAGTTGTTACTATGTGAATTAAGTTTAAAACGTGATATTGGGGTAAATGAGTAACATTCAGATGCTTAAGATACATTGAAGATTGTAGATGACAGTGTAAAAGAGACATCTTACCGGTTCTGCAATATGGCGGAAAGAGGAAGTAGTAAAAAACCGCAGTGCATTATGGGGAATGGCCCAAGAGTAATTCCGGCCAAGATGATTAACGTCACCTCCAAAACACCGTTTTTTATACCATTCTTTTTAAGGGCAAACATTTACAAAGACTTTTAAATTAATAAAGCAATGTAGCTGACATCTGTCCATCAGCTGTATAGATGGAGTTTAAATTGATTAACTTAAGTACATGGTTTACTTTACAATGAGCCTAAGTTGGATCATATCCGGCATCCATGCAGCCATAGCAATGATCGTGAATCTTCTCCGAATTATTCACAAAAAGAAATAAGCCACAATTCTCAATAATTCAGCTTTAATATCCGATAGCTTCGTGGGGATAGCAACTGAAGTTCAAATTATTTTAATGTAAAATATTCCGATATAATTGGGTCTGGGATTCTAACACAACCTGTCAGCTGATGTAAAAAGATCTCAGACAGAAAACAAAACAATGTCAGAGTTAACATTTTTATTCCATGTTTTAATGTGTACATCAGTCGTTAAACAGAAAAATACAATGTATATGTAAATGCAAGGCAAATCTACCATTGCATTATAAGGAAAAGCATGTGTTTGACAACAAATAAGATGAATACCAATAACTTGTATTATATTAATTAACATAACTGATCAGTAAATAACCACAGCTTCTATATTTGTTTATCTGTCTGTTTTTTATTTTTGTGAAAACAATTTCACAGTCAAATACTTACTTTCATTATTGTAGAGTATGGTCTATTCAATAACATATAGTCAGAAAGCTCTCCTTCAAAGAAAATATATTAACTAATCGCAATTTCCTTTATCATGCATAGAAGACACACAGCTAATTCTTCATGTGAGGTGAATATTAATATATAGAAACTACTCATTAACACTTTCCATTATTTTTCTTCTTAATTATACATTATATTGAGGAATCTGACCAATCCCATTTGTCTGCTATTGTTTGAAAATTCTCAATTTATATCAGATAAATAGTTGAAAACTGTGGTGGATTTTTTTGTTTTCTTTTTTTAAACTAAACTTTTGTACCTCTGCTATTTTGCTGGACTTTTTGCAGAAAACTCTGCCATGGTGCTCTGGTGTTGTAAGTTAGAGTGATCAGGAGGAAAGTGTGCTGCGGGTTATGTCTAGCCATCTGCCAAAGCTCAAAACTCTTTGTTTCTTACAGTTGAAATGGCTGCAGTTCAAACTCTTTCCTCTTGTGTCCTGAAGAGGGCCTGCTAAACAACACAAATCCAGATGCAGTGACATACCCACCAGCCTAGTCACAGATGTAACAAACATGTGGAGCATAACGGAATGCTGAGCAGCACAAGACATTGTAACCAGATTTCTAAAGAATTTCTATGGTTACATTAAATTTTCAACACATTTTTCTCATATATTCAGCCCTTCAGCTAATTTCCCTCCTTTTGTACTCTTAGCCACCGTTGCTGCCCATGCTGGCCAAAGAATCTGCTTCCCCCTGGGGATCCACTCCCAGCCTCTGGAGGTCAAGGCCCATGGCTACCAGCATCTGGAGCAGAGTAAGCTCCTGCTGGGTGGCCCGGTCCACCAAAGCTGGACAGGTGGGGTTACACTGGGGCGACTGGCAGGTGTCCACCAGGTGGAAAGGGCAGCCTTTAGCGGGGGTTCTGTTGTTGCGAATTGCCTCCAGATTTCTGTCCCAGCAGTGTAAGGCCCGTGGCAGAGAGGTGCCTTTTACTTGGAAACTCATCCAGTTACTACAGAAAGATAAAGGTGGACAAATAACAAATAGGTTACAAATAACTTTAAGGTCTTTAAGAAAAATATATCCTGTTTTATGAATGCACCCTGCCTGACAAACTCAAGCCAACTCAGAATAAAATGGCTTAGTGCTGAGCTATGCAGTTAAAATGTGTCGGAAAAACCACAGATCTTGAACAGTGTTTAAAGAGTCTGTTAAGCTCTAGACTGTAGCTTGGTGAGAGTGAGTACCCTAACAAATAGTAACATCAAATGTCCATCCTTACCTTTTGGTTATGACTGTGTGGGAGAGGCAGGAAGGTGCAAAAACAGCCCTGAAAAGAATGAAAGCAAGGAGAACTCATCTTTGGTTGAATACCGAAATGAAACCTCTAAATTACTTGGGTTGAATTTGAATGTTGTGATGCTGTCCAGACAAGTTGGGCACTTACGTGACATCTCTCAGAGAATTTTTTATCTCTAAGCCCAGGTTCTGTATGTACTGCCACTGCGCCTCAGAGAGACTCCGTCCTCCCATGTAGATGTTTTCCACTCTCAGCTGCTCTTCGTCAAACAGCCATTGGACAACAAACAGCGGGGCTAATGAAAAATACAAAAGGCCGTTGAAGAAAACTGCATCATTTCTAATTTCACTGCTTGATATTAGCTATCTTTGCCGAAAGGACATTGGGTTTGCAAAATCTCAAAAGTGTCCGTAAACACCTTGTGGAATACAAACAGATAAAAACTGGACTCTGACACCAATTCCATCAAGCATTAATGGGATGCACTGGATTAACCCCCGCTATCAGAAGCTCCAACTGACAATCACAGGAACCAAAGGGTCTGATACCAATTTGTTGTTGCCATACTCTACACACCCCTCCGTCAGGACTGCTTTGGCTGCACAGATACCTGCATCCCATGTCTTAAACAGCAAGTAAATCAATCTCTTCACTTTCTGTTTCTGGGAAAACGACAATTGCAGGTCTCATATTTGAGCCTGTAATGTTTTTGAGCAGCTATAGTCAGACGTATGGTATGCTGTTCCATTACTACCGTGAACAAAAAACATCATCAAGCACTCACAGGTCAAGGTGGAGTATAGTCTGTGACCAAAGAAGCACTGCCATTCCTCCCCTCTCTTGTAGAGCTGTCGACATCTGTCAGGGACCACCCCGTTCCACAGTCTAAGGAAATAAGTCACTGTTCATGAATAACTAGAAACATCCCAACCAAAAAAAACCTGTTACGTCAGAGGGGTCTGTTGCTTTACCGGAGTCCAATCTTGATGGCGTCTTCAGGTGAGCAGGAAACGGTCTCGGGGCAGTTGGGCGATCTCTGCTGCTTGCTTTCAAGGAACCAGCCAGAATCCACCAGACCCCGGACCTGAGCCTCCGCGCCAAGCTGCTGCAGCTGACTGGCAACCCTCTCGATGTTCAGCAAGACACCCGTCCCACCAGCACTGTAAGAGTCAAGAGAATCACAATCAGTACATCGTTTGGCTTCGATGTGGACGTTTCTGCTGGAGGTGTCCAGTTGGCAGAGGTCTGGGGGTTCTGTTTTGGGACACGGGGGTGTCCCAGCAGTCATGTTGCTAACCAGGGAGGAATGTTCACCACTGCAGGCCAAGGCCTTTTGATAAGCATTATGTCACTGATCACAGTTGACTGTAAACATCTTCATCGCTGACAAAAGGATGCACCCAAAATAGGGCTGCTCGTGTCCAATGGTAGGCATGGAGAGGAGCTGAGAGACTTGTGTCCTAAAGCTGCAATCTTCATCAGATCACAAGCAATAAAACAAACCCACCTTGTGCCGGATAGCATGACAACCTTGGCCTGTTTGATTCCTTTGGGAACGAGATCTTTGATGACCTCAAGGATGATGAGGGATCCCATGAAAGTATAGTCGGCTAGTTAGAAAAGCAGACGTCAAATGATTAGGGGCAGTCAGCTGACAAATGAGATGTTTTTTTGTCTTTACAGAAAGAGTTAGAAAAAATGGTTACTTGTATTTGTGGTTCTGTCTCTGACTTTGTCTTTGCCCTGACGTGGCCTTGGAGGTGGTGTTGGGGCCGGGCCGGTGCCACTCCATACATCACTTGAACAGTATGGTATGAATCTGCAGCAAAGGAGAAAGACACATTTATCAGACTGAAGCCAGAGATCATCTATTCAGCATCTTTCCTCCTTTTCAGGCCTATTTTTAGATTTTTGTCTGACCAATTTATTGATTAGCTTTCACAGACGTCTGTTGACATGATCACAAAAATAAAAACGATCAAATCCACAAAACTTGGAGAAATTAGTTTACAGTAAAATGTGAAGGAAAAAAATGTAAAAGAAACATTGCTACTCATTTCATTTTTCTATTTTCTGTCTAAATATGCTGATTGAGCAGTAAATAAAATTATAGAAATAATCTCAGGAAAAGGTTTTTGATTGTTTCCAGATTGGGGAGATTGCACCCTGCAGTTTCTCTAAAAACTGTTACAAGTTACCAGCTTAATGCAAATCAAACATTGGGCTCATCTTTACATTTAGCAAAGACGGAAACGAGTGCAGTTCTCCTAAATTTTTACAGATGATGCACCAGACACCTCCAGAAGCCACAACAATACATCCATACAGGTACTCACACGATGTTAGCATTGTGCCAGTGTGGATTTTCCTCTGCTTGTGAAGACAATATTCCACTTCCTGTAAAACATCCAATCACCAACTTGAACTCCCTCACCAAAGTGAGTAACATTATAGAAACGTGTGTGGCACGGATTGTAAAACATGCCTGGCTGACCAACCTCTTTTAGTCTGGGGCCACCCTGATGAGCTCATTAGTCGTGGGATATTTTGGTACCTGGAATCACAGGTCTCTTTGCTGTAGCAGCACCAGCCACCTAAAAATAATAGGGACTAATTTTAGACATTCATATTTCAGTAAAGGCGACCCCAGTTGGCCCATTAAGCCCATTAGGGAGGAGAAGAAACACACAGCTGTATTTTGGACAAAAGATACAAAATATTCCTTTACTGTAAATGTGTTAGCATCTCAGGGGCTTAAGTCTGATATTAAATCTAAAAAGTATTGATCAGAGGCGTATGCTCACCACCACAGGTAAAATGTTTTAGTTTTTTAATGATACCTTCTAGTCTCTGAACAGTCATCTAAAACTTGCATAAACCTTGCAACCACAAAGGCAGGAAAACAGACATTTTCACAAAAAAAGAAGACATACCTATTTCAATTCCAAGGAAGGGATTACACCTAAACTATCTTACCTTTGAGGACCAGATTAAGTACTAAAAAAATATCCAATGCTCACCTTCAAGAAATAACAGCCATTTGCGGCTTCCTCTGAACTCTTTGAGGTAAAACCTGAGGAACCATAAGCAGAAACATTGAGAGGAGGTGGAGGATGAACCATGGACCTAATGTTGCTTCCGAAATCAGACAACAAATGCATTTGGCACGCAACATCAGTAAGAGATCATCCTACCCAGCTGCTGTTCCATCATTGCATGTAACTTGGGTGTTCTTCAGGAAGTGCAGCCTCATATCATCTGTCTGCTGTCCAGCTGCTCGAGCTCCCGCAGTGCCCCCCTCCTGTCCTGACCCGGCTGGCCCTCCGCTGCTCCTGCTGCCTCCTTGGCTTCCAGGAGTCATGTTGACCACGGAGGGGGACTGGGCACCATCGCTTCCCTGGACCCCACCGGCCTTCTTCGCGGCTTTTCCGCCGGGCTTGACATTTCGATTGTTCTGAGCCCAGATTCCCCCGAGCAAAAGCAAAAAGGCAACGTGCCCAAGTATCTTCATGTCTGAAAAGGGGCACGTGAAGCCAGAGGTTAATGCAGCTTTGATACACGCACATGCAAGTCATGAGTAGTCAGACACTTCTTATATCTCCTTAACATCTAATCTCTCTCCTCAATTGAAAATTGCTCACCTTTTCAGGAAGAACCAGCTCTGAAGACTACTGCTGAGGCTCTGCTGGATCTGGGAGATGTCCGGTGCTGCTGCTGAGGAGTGAGTGAGACGTTGAGTAAAAGCAGGGACCAGGTGTGGGAGGAGGATGCCAGTCATGAGCTGGGATGAAGCGTTGACCAGGTTTTGATGGAGGCTGCGAATGAGCGAGGAGCTTTATAGGGCCACCATTTGGATCAGATTTCCCCCCGTTTTCGACTCGCAGCTGGTGCCAGGTTTCGGAGATAAACTGCTGACGACACGCCGCGAGGGGGAGGTACTAGATGGCCCGTGGCGAGGAGAAAAGATCACACACGCATCTCTCCGACGTATTCCAAGCCTTTGCACACACCCACCACCAAACTCCTTCCCAGAGAGCGAGCCCTCTTTGCCCCCATCCTCTCTCTTCTTTTCCCTCCCACCGTCCAACTCTAATTGCCAGTTTTTTCATCTAAACCTCGACACGGTCGGCATAACTGCATAGCCCTTTCAGTGGTATGTGACCTGGAGGTCACTGGAGCGCACACCTCAAACGGCTCCTGACAGAGGAATGAGTGGTGCCGTAAGGTTCCTGCACTGTTGACAATGCAGCTCACACTATCGGCACGAGTCGTGGAAACTATTTTGCGGCTGTACGTTTACAAATTCAGATCAAAACGTACATTTATCAGTTATTCTCACAACAGTTTTTAAAGCATTCTTACACATGGGACAGGGAAATAATGCCTTCGACCAGCACTGTCATGCCATTCCTGTTATCCTAACTGACTTAAATGAATAAGGATCTGTTTTCTTTGGCAAAATTGAATCGTGTTCTAGTGTTCGATTTTGAAGTGAAATACAATGACATAAGCATGATCGATTGTCTTTGTGAGGTAAGCTGCTATGAGGCAACATTGTTTGTTTCTTTTAAAGAACGTGTCGCAGATTAATAATTTATTACACGTTTATGCAAATAATGTTACCAATATTGTGTCACTAACTCTGTTTAACATCACATCTTGTTAACCAGTACCTTTTAAATAATACAAAATATTAAATATACTGTCCCTGCAAAAATATAAATTTTTCTGAGAATGTATTTCTGAAGAACTGACTCTTTAATTAGTTCTGTAAAATTAGTTCTGAGGTTGCTATAGTCATGCTATAATCTACACTCTTTCGTTACTATAAGTCTCACACAGAAAATTGAAAAATTCTAAAACGAATCAGGCATTACCACAGTAGTTCAGGTTTTGGTACTGAGTCGGTGAGCTCTCTTCATCTGCTGCTTTGTCCCTCTCAAGGTTGGTGTCTGCAGACTCCTTGATGGCAAGTTAGGTTAGTTTGCCTTTGGCAATGAAAGCAACGGGGTATTTGAAACTGATCTGTGGCTGTCCCCCCTCAGATGGCTACGGGGTGACGCACCAATGATCGCTGAAGGATCACGAGTGAAATGCACACCATCTCACTGTGTCAATCACAGCAAATGATGATGACTTAGAAGGCCATAAGCAACAACAGAGAGAGGTAACAAGGGATGAAAAGACTGGAGGGTGGCAGACGTTTAAGAGTCAAATATATGCAGAAAATAAGAATGAATACATTAAAACAAATCAAAGTTCACGTCAGTCATAAGAGAATGCAAATAATGAGCACATCACTTTCTAATTCCAAATTTATTCTTTTTTTATCAACAAAATAATGGAGTAATAACACAGCATGTGGTCAAGAATAATCAGCAAACAGTTTCAAGACATAACATTTTTTTCTATTGCTTTGGCATGATAATAAATGAGATTTTTGTTCCCATTTTTTCACGTCTTGGCTATTTTATCTTCTTTCAACTGTTACCAGAAAAAAAAGAACAAAGTTACTAAAAAATGTCTGAGACCGTATACACCTACACACAATAAAAATGTAGCCTAACGTCTATAGTGAATTTGATCTACTGAGCTGAACAATTCCTCATTCTTTCAGTGGTCTTGAAGCATGCACACCACCATCTGTCTTCCCAGAAATCATTGCAGCAATCTGTTTAACAGATACCTCAAATAGCTGAAAAACGAAAGAAGTTGCTGTAAATCTATCAGCGTTTTGCCAGAATGTCACGGACAGAGAAATGGCATTGCTGCTATTTTGTTTTTCTTTGATATGGGATTGGACAGAATGATAAGTTTTGCAGAGCAGGCTTCAGATCAATGGATTGTTCTCGACCTTTAGTGATTCAATTCCCAGAGCTTGTCAAGCGTTGTCCTTCTTAGCTTGCACAACACACTATATGTGAAAAATCGCACACCAAAAGGAAGAGCGAACCGACTTCTGGAGTCTGCTTTCGCTTCTTTACCTTTGAAAACAAACATTTAGCAGAAGTCATGAGGGGCTCGTGAGATACGCTGAACTTCACCCTGATGGGGCAGCGGCTTGACCCCTTGTGCAACATAGAAGGCATTCTTTTTCCCCTTGTGTTGTTATTTTTCACAGCTAGCCCTCCAAGGTCAGGACACCTAAAGCCCGGGTGGTCCGGGCACTTTGTCTGCCGAGCATGTGTGTCATCACCACCCTCAAGAGCCGAGGGCCCGGCCGTTAGCTGGAATATTTGTCGGCTAATGGCTTCAAAGAACTACAAGCCCGGGACAGCAGTCATGTGTTAGATTCCTCTGATCCCACTACGGCATGGAAAGGCTGCAACCCTCGAGCAGGCAGACTGAAACTCGGCATTTGTTTAAACAAAATAATGTATTTATTTTGTGAGTCTAAAAAAGGAATGTATGAGCTAAACTTATCAAAGACTATGATCGATCCAAGAATAGCACCATGCATCTCCTTGGATCGTGTTGCAAGTCATTTGACAATCTGCAAGGGCAGAGCTGGGCAAACGGGGCCGTGATTAATAGGAAATAAAAGGGTCGTCTTTACAAGCCACATGAAAACGGGCTTCGGTCAAGAGGTGTGAGCCCTGACCGAGCTCGGCGTTCAATCAGCGCGCAGGACAGAGCGTGTCTTAGCAGGATCAGTGTAAAGTGCTGAGCCACAGCAGGCGGCGGGCAGGTGGTGTGGGCAAAACTATCCCCTGAAACCAGGTGTTCGGAGGCCTTGCGTAGTAACCTTCTGCAAACTGCCAATGCACGGTGATAAATGGAGGAGGGGTTGATGGGAGGAATACTGGATCGGGAGATGTGGGAGGTGAAATGTATTGTTAAGAAGAGGATGGATGAAGTTTCAGGTGCTCTAAGAAACCGAATCTAACTAACCGTGCACCGTGTCCAACATAGTGCAGTGCCAGACACATCTCCATCAGGAAAAATGCAGCGTCAAGCATAAATGCCTCAACTCAGCAATGCAAAATGGAGAAGAGTCAAGAAATCTTTGACTCCCAAAAAAGTATGCGCAGACATACAATCCGAAGCAGCAGCACAGACAGACTGGAAGAAGGTTTGTGTGGCCATTGCGTTCAGTTCTCTCACTGGAATGTAACATATTTCTGGCTTCGAAGCAACATTGGAAAGTGCGGAAAAACCAAAACACTTCCCTCAAGTGGTGTTAGTTTTAGTGTTAGTGGACTGTGATTGTGACGGGGACCTCGCTGTGTCAGGGCGAGTAGCTTCAAGTGTCCTCGGGTCTTGTGACTGTGTGGACCAGCAGCGTGGCCTTGGGCTGATATTGGACGAACCAACAGCCTGTCGGTGCATTGATGGATACCACGGTGGGGGGGTGGGGGGGTCACGCGATGCTTAACTTCAGCACCCACGTGAGTCCTGCCACCTGATCGACAAACTATCACACACAACAACGAGTTGAAACAACTGTTCCGGCCTCATCTGATAAGAGGAGACGGTTGGAACCATGAAGAGAGTTTTAGAATAGTCATGTTATTTGTGAGTAAGATCCTTTTGGACATAAATGGACAATGATCTTTGATTAAAGTTACACATTTGTTTTCCCATTTGCTCCACGTTACTTTAACATCTAATCTTGATTTACCAGAATAACAAGGAATTTAAAAATAAATAGGAGTCTACTCAAGGTTTAAATTTCTGCATATTATGAGCAAAAATAACAACAAAAAAAGTTCAAATGTTTAAAATCATTTTAAACATTAACTTGCCCAACACATTTATGTAAAATTAAGCTTGGTTAGTTTATTCATATTTAATGTAAAGCACTGGGCCATAAAAAAAAGACTATTGATACCAGAAGACATGACAATTAGGGTATGTTTTACACAGATTCACTTCTTAGAAGACTGACCTTGGTTTGTTTTTTTTCTTTCGGTAAAGCATTCGGTAGATGTCACTGCGTGACAGACCGTAAATCAGAGATTCCAGCTGAAGTGATGTCAGCCCTTTACATCATGTGTTGTCACTTCATGCTATGAGGACATGTGGACACATGGTCACTCTCTCAGCGACATACCCCTCAGCGTCTTGAAAGATTTATCATACGAGCGAGTATATGCAGGCATACGCTCATGCTCAAAATCTGTGGCTTCCACCAATTTGAACTGACGCCTGAAAGAAGCAAAATCAAACACTTTTGACTCAACATGGCCACTGGATGAAGAATAGCAATGTAAAGCACACAGTGACATCACACCACAGGTATTCATGTGTACAGACATACCACAGAACAGTAAAAATGTTTACTATTTATAGAGCCTGGCTGCTTTACAGCTAAGGTTGCCGCGTATGAATAGTTGACTTAGATAACCTGAACAAAGTCAGTTTGATCCGATAGCCCTTCTGTTATGGGAAGACCTCGTTTGAGAGTCAAGGCAATCCAATTTGAAATGATTGTTCGCTGGATTTCCTTTTAATTTATGGTGGTATGACAGTTAGCACCTGTTAACTTTATGGCTCAGGTGAAAAAACATCTCGGCCTTGTGCTCTCTGGGCATTCTGGGTTTGATTTTTGCAGTCACAATATGCCAGCACACAACAGTCCTTCAATATTGCTCAGAGTGATAAAAACATAATGTGTAAAAGTTGGTGATATAGGGCATCATTGGTTTTAAACCTTGGAAAGTAGTAGGCCTTTCTATTCATTGTCCAGTATCTTATTGAATACTTCAGCTAACCAACTCTGTATGATTAGTTTGTATGTTAAATCAAGAGAGGACCGGCTTTACCCTTTAAAGGACCTTTTAATCTAAACCCAGGGGGCAAAAAATGATGAAAATTATTCCCAAAAGTTCAAGAGTCAAACATATCAATAATTTGAATGGAGCAAATGGTTTGAATAGAGAAACATTCATAATAAATCACATCAGAATTAAAGAGAGCAATAGAGTATCTTATGATATTGGACCTTTAACTTATTTTTACCTGGACAGAGCAACCGCAAGATCAGTTGTGCCACATCTCAGATTTTTTATTTTAATGCATCTATCAAGTCTGAACAGTGATACAGCTACACTAACACCAATCTAAACTATGTGCTCAATTCTGACTGCTCCAGGTGGATCTCACGGTGCCCATCTGTCACTACAAGCCGCCGAAAAGCCCGATTTCTGTCAGGCCGCACATATCAAAGCCAAAAAGGGATTCAGTCTACATCCGAAAGATTTCATGATGTATAAGCATTTGTATTGTTGGTGCTGTTGAAAATTTACAGCGGTAATTATTCACGGATAGCAAGACAGTCACAGTTTAGCTATGTTTTATTGCTCTCCACATACTTCAAGTTGCCAATGTCTAAGTTAGTGGTTCAGCAGATTCCTCTGGAAGTGATTCTGAGGAAAGAACCTAAACAGTGCACACGAACTCCTCGCGGTCACAGACAGAGGCAGCTCGGCTGTTGGCTGAAAATGGACCATGTGCAGGTCTCATCAACCTCAAGAACAATGCACGAGCAGTTAAACATGGTTTTAGAATTCAGTTTTTACAGTCATTAACCTAAGGACTCATCACTCGTTTTTACACAGCGGTAATTTCATCACCGAAAATGGAGCTGCAAATGGAGCTGTACATATGTTTCTTTATTTAAACACTTACATCTCGCTGTGAAACTGTCAGCGCTATTAATCTACGGCAGAGATAATGTATGATGATCTACCTTTGATTTGCTCAGCTGCCCCCCGTCTCGTGTTTCTCACATATAGTGAGTGACCTCAGATGAATCATTATATAACGGTATATGACAGAGCTTGATTTAGTGCAGGTAAGACAGCAAATCCCAGAAAACCTTTCCTCAGAATTTTGACGGAAAAGAAAAAAGGGACAACAGAACTACTCTGTGTCATTTTTATCTTAATGTGGATTTGTTACATTAATTTTCCTTAGAGATCTTATACATCTCTTCTCAAGGACAGAACTAGTAAGTATTAAGAAACTTAAACATCTGGGTCAAGAAAATACTATAGCCCTTTGTTGTGATGCTTGTAACTGAACTCCAACGGACACTATTTTCTGTAAGTGATCTGTGAGATATTTTGAGGACCTCTCAGTAGTTCATCAGTGTATTTTTTACTTTGCGCAATAAGGAAAAGAAGGAAACGCTTGTCTATACAGAAGCACAGTTTATAGTCTTATGCCATAGTAACGCACGGTCAAGAAACTACCACCAGATAAACTCTGCATTTTAAACATCACAAAGCTGAGGAGCTGCACCCTAATTTCAAAGAACAAACAATACCGATTTGTTAAGGGAAAATGGGCAAAAAAAGCCACCCGTCTTCATGAATTAGTTCCTTTTCTGTGATTGGAGAACCATCCAGAATAGCACAAATTCCTCTGGTGGCAGAGCTGAAGTGTTGATTAACTGATCACCAATTAAACTGTCAAGAGGACAAATCAAAAATAGGCTCGTCGTGTCAACTATCAAAGCAAACACGGCAAGAGCTGCATTTTTTACGCTTGGCTTTCACTCGAGCAGATGGACAGTAGAACAGGTCCTATTTTTAAGAAACGGAGGCCGTACGGCACATTAACCCTTGAGGTCAGGTCTGATATGTAAACCCGCTGCGGCTAAAATAACTCCTCTGACCTCATGCTGAGAAAAATAGACCCGCAAAGTTTGGTAACAGCTCACCTCTGAGAAGGACCCATTTTGCATTCATTGGCCGGCTTTACTTTAAAATCAAACATCAGAAATCAGTCTAAAAACAGCTGCAAAGAAGGTGCAACCTGTCACAAAGCAGTTTTAGGGATTTTATGTCATTATCGTCACACAATGTTAACGTAGGAGACCATACTAAACTGAGGATCCAATTTAGTTGAATTTCCCTCAGCAGTTTAATTGGAAATAGGATGTTCAACACATCAAGTGAACCTCAACTGAAAAAGGCAGACCATCCTCAGCATCAAATTAACTTCTTCAACATTTTTTCTAATAATTTATACAAGTGGCAGCTCGTCAGGCCTTAGTTTCCTTTGGTTTTAAACGTATCTTTGCTATTTAATTTGATATAATCGCCATAAATCAGCATTCTGCACAAGACACATATGAGAGTAATCTTTGAGTCATTTTATCCCCCCCTCCCACATCATATCCCACGTTTTACAATGCAGAATTAAGGACAATGACCAGCGTGACAGACTTGCTGAAGGGGCTAATAGATTAGGAGCCCCTGGAGAGGCCTTTTGTCGATCCTTTTTGTTGGGTGACCTGATGTCCCCAGAACAGCTGTGTGAGGGTGTTTAGCAGCTCTGCAGGGTTGACAAGCCATCACTCAGCCTGATTCATGAACTATTACATGTGAAACACGAGACTCTGCTGAAGGGTATGATGGTGTAAGCATGCTTGTATCAATATGTCCTTATTACGATTATTTGAGGTGTCGCAGCACACTAGCAGGAGATTAGAAGAGAAGAAATCTCATAGGTTACGTTCAATATTCACTTTACTGCATTTCCATCACTTTTCAAACATGTTTTTTTTTTCAACAAAACTGCAACACAGAGATAGGACCGTGACATTCAGTAAACAGCACCCATGTCAGACATTTATTCAGCAGAGACCGCCTCCAGCTCCATATTTCAGAGTCTGTGGAGTAAATGATGTGCAAAGAAAACAAAAAGTACGTTATTTGAACATTTTTTCAGGTAGAAGTAAAGTATACTGCAACAAGAGGTGTTTCCTTCACTGATTAGAAATTCAAATGAACTCATTCACACAAACTGAATTAAAATATCAAAAATATTCCATCAGTTTTTTCACACAGAGCTAAACGCGTTGAGAAACATATATTGCAGCTTTGCATCCCAGCTGTATGGCATTTTTTAATAGCCAGTATCCAGGTACCTAAAACACAAGAAAAGAGAAATACTTAAATTAAGTCAGATCGTGTTTTTTTTCTGATAATATTAGACTCAAGTAAGCTGATTTAATCAAAAAGAACAAACTAAATAAACACCATGCAACAAACATAAACATGTTTAAGTGACTGTTCATAAAATCCTGTAATAAAAAATAAAAGCATATAATGACTTGAAATTGTCTTTATTATTCCGAGATACTGGAATATACACTTACTGATTCTGCATTGTGCTCTAATCCTGTGTCATGATGCTCCATCTCATCATCTCGGAAATCCTTTATTATCTATCAAAATAGATCCCAAAACATAAATAAAATAGGTAAACTTGGTAAAAATTCCAATGACAGTATTAGCTGCTTGACTAAATGAAATAATAGTGTTTGTTTTATGAACATGTTGCCCCAAAGTCTGCTGTTGGTCACTGCTGTGGTAAATCTGTCAAAAGTTCAGACATATTCATTTTCTGAGAGCATCAAGGCTCTGCTTGGGATAAGAGTCGCCCCCTGCAGGCCAATGGAAAGAATGCAGATTGGAGGTTTTCCCACATTGGCTCCATTTCTCTAACAAGGAGAGGCTTTCTATCTTTCAGATGCATGTTGAGCTTCGTAAATTGCTCTGCAACAACTTTGTTGGTAGTTTGGTGGTCTTGTTACTATTTGTAGATGGGCATTTAATTAAAAAATTAAAATGCTTTTCAATGGGAGCGGGAGTTGCTGAGCTTGAATGCTGGGTTTTGAAAAAGGAAAAATTAGAAAATGACTTATTTGGGCTTCATGTACAGAATTTTCAATTAAAAAGCATAGAAGGGACTTTGTGCTAGCGATTCAGGCCATGGAAACTCCAAGCTTAAACAACCAAACCTCTTTAATTCCCACAAGACGTGAAACATGAGCCAAGATAAGCAGGACTATCCGACTGATGAGCACTGCCTCTTTCAGTAAACTGGTCAACAGCGTCTCACAAACAGCTAATAACTGATTGCAGTGAAGCTACATCCTAAATCACATCCCTGTCTATCAGTTTGTAGGTGTGTGCTAAAACCCCTATTGTTAAAAAGAGCCATGTTTGACACTCACTTGTAACAGTTCAGTGTATCTGTCTGGATCCCTCTCCATCAGAGCTCTTATTTGGCTGTTGTAGTGCTCTGAGATGCTCTCCTCCACTGCCACGGTGCAGGCCATGGCCCCCTCTTTCCCCAGCAATGCCGTGGATGCCCCTAGAGAATATTGAAAACATGCCAGAGGAAAAAAAACAGTTAAAAAAGTGAATACAATTTTTTTCCCATTTTCTTATATGACTTAATTCCATTTTCTGCATTATCTTACAAGTGTGGAAATGCTGTGTGTTTACAGTATTGTATTACCAACCTAATGCAAAGCCGGCAATGTTCCAGAGAGGTAGCAGCACTGTGGGTCGAACTCTGTTCTCAGCAATAATTTCATTGAATTTTGCTAGGTGTTTCTTTTCTTGGTCCCACATTTGCTAAAGATTAAAAATACACATCATTAACACATTTTCAAGAATGTCATTTTTCTTCCATTTGACCATTTTACCGAAGCTACCAAACAACCCATTTAGTTTCTATGGAGATGTCAAAGTTTCATATATACTTTTCCAGGTGTGGCAATACTGTAAATATGATCACCTCAACAGCAGATCATAGATGTAATATGGTAAAATCAAAATGTAAAAAAAAATGTTGGCTTCCGTTTTTGTATAATAAACTTACTCTTGTCCTGGATCTGACCAGGTTACTACTTAAAGGTAGATCCATATATTTTCCTTTACAGTTGGAGACTTAAGATGAATGAGTTTGCCAAAACAACCTAAATCAATCCATATTTGCTCAGATTTATGGAGATATTTGATCGTTCAGGGACATCTCAGTATGTAACAGCATCTGAATCCAGAGTCCTGCACACCTGGATAAGAGGCCCGGTCTTGGTTCTGCCCAGAACGGCCATCTGACCGGCGTAGATGCGGTTGGCACCGAACTCCCCGGCGTGGTCCACGCGCAGCATCTGGTGCATCATCTCCTTCTCCTCGTCGTCGCGAGGCGGCGGAAGCACGCTGTAAGCACGCGAGTTGTGCTGCAGGGGCACTGTGACAACAAAGCGACAGTCATGGGTAAATACGTACTTGTCTGTCCTCCCTAGAAGCTTGAACATTTGAGACTTTTCACAATTTGAAGGACAGGAGATTTGTTAAGAAACATGCAAATGAGAGGCTTTTAAAACTGCAGTGCAACTTTTTAATTATAAAAACAAACTTGTTATGACGCTTTACATAATCAAGATAAAAGAATAAAGATAAAAAAATAGCTGGATAACATGGATTTGACCTAGTTAACTACTTAACCTAAACTGAAAACTGCACATTTCGCACAGATGATCGTTACATCTGGAGTGTTTTTAGCTTTTTAGCACCGTAGCTCCAAGCTAAGAGAATAACCACCAACCTCTGCATTTTAAACTCTGTCGAATCATCGCTGAGCCGACAGGCTGACACCAGTCACAGATAGCTGTCCGAGCAGCTCTTTGCATGGCAGTTACTTAATGTTTGAACTACCACTGTTATAAAAGTAAATGTGTGCGAGCTGACATTGAGCGTCAGGAGGTGGACGTGTCGCACACTAATGACGTCACCACGTTGCACAACATTGTCCCACACCAACCCGCGCTGACTGCTGATCCATTTTCGTCAATTTTCAGACAAAAAGGTGTCAAAATTGGCCAACTCCTTTGCTTAAAGTTTTGATAACCTTTGCCTTGCTCTGTTTAAAAAAACAAGTTCAAATCACTTCTAGTATTTGTGTTGTGACATATTTGAAAAGGTTTTAAATCTTCACAATGATTTTCTTACCACACCAACAAATTAATTCCACTATTGTTTTCACATGTATTAAAGTTATTCTTTCTTGAACAATAAACTTAATATGGTGAATAAACAAGTGGCACAAACTCAACACAATTATTTTGACCATAAATATACAAAAATATTTTCCATTCAAACAAAGTTTAAATTAATTTGTCAAATAATATTAAAAACTTTTTAAAAATATATTATTTGTAGTATCAAGCTCCTTATTGTTTTTTTTTAACCAAGAAGAATGACGTCCTTTGTTATTCAAAGGTGAAAAAAACAAAGAAAATAACATTTTCTTCATGGGGTCAATAGGCCAACAGGTCAGGACTGTTTATTTGTTGTCCATCAATACTGTCTGACTTTGTTTCAGTGTGGAATATACAAATCAAATGGACCTAAATTGTTCCACTGTACAATCAACTATCTTCTCCTGTTCTGCCGAGCAGGTTAACGAGGTCAACATCCTAGACGAGTCACTACTCTGTTGAAAGGATTATATCACAACACAAACAAACCCTTATAACAGGTAATTTAGAGTTCACGGAGTGCACATGTTCTAAATTTGGCCTGTGGGAGGAAAACCAGCATTTGAAAGGCTAACGTAAAGAAGTCAGATGGCCTTTTGGCAGTGCAGTCTTTGTTATTCTGTGCTAAAAAAATTACGGTTGTTTCTTTTGTTTAGATTTATTACATAAGAAAAGTGCTTTAGCAACAGAGCAGAGAAACTTTTTGGGACGATCAGTGTTTTTGTTGGTGGTCTACAGATGGCAGTGTTGCACAGAGAAAATGGACGGTTGAAAGTTGAGTTTCAAACTCCACTTGGACCCAGTTTTCAGCATCATTTCAGTTTCAGTAACGACACCTCGCTGTGATTTTGCCTGCAAAACTCAGTTCAAACTAACTTTATGAAATATAGAACTTAGATCAGTTGGTATTTATCTTGCACCTTCATATCACTAATAGTACTCGCTCCTGTTTTTGGTGTCCAAGAGCTTCCTGCACAATACACAATGTATTTGGGTGAAGGAATGTGTGGAATGATGAGGTTGACTGCTGAAGAGCTGTGATGGTCATAAGTAAACAAGGCCAGGACGGTGAATGGCGGGGTGTGTCGGTTTTGTCTGTGTGTGTATTTGTGGTGAGACACTGGTTATGTGTTTCCCTATCTGTCTGTCTGGCTGTGGGTTTCTACGTATGTGTGGCCTCACACCGTAAATGTGGTTTGCCTTTGTCCTCTTTATGTGACTGTGTGTCTCTGCTGACAGGTGTGAGGGAGGCTTGGGTAATGGGGAGATGAGCAACAGTTTCTGGACCCAAACCCCTTTGAAGCCCGTCAGGTCTGAGTGTGCTCGCAGTGATTCAACCACTTTCTAATATTTGTTTCCATGCTGGCAGTCCCAAAGCAAAGAATGATGTAGTGCTAGTTCTGTGTTTTTACATGTGTGTGTGTTGTCTGGACAAATGTAGCTGTGAAATGGGTACTCCAGTTTTAATATTCAATATGTCAATTTGTGTCATTTCATTTGGTGTTTGAATGTCCTGTAAAAGGCTGAAACGAAATGCTTTTAACCGGCCTCTTGTGCAAATTTTAAATGAATACCTAGCCAAAAAATCTAATCTGTCCTTACATTTTGCAACACTAAAACCCAAAAAGTTGGTGAACTGAGTACGGTTAGAGAGAAATAAAGCAATAGCAGACTGAAAAGGACAGTATACAGTATAAAACACTGGTCTCCTACATTGAAAGACGTTTAAATTTATGTTAACGGAAGAAGGGATGCTACACAGTGGAAAAAACAGATACAAATCGCACAAAGCAGTAGGTATGGGTGGTAAACAGTTACTTTTCGCTTGGGCCAAGAAAACAGGAGATGGACAAAAGGCTAAATACAGCAAACCTTTAAACAAAAGTGGTTGACGGAGTTTAAAGATCGGCAGCACTTCTTCCAAGATGGAGGTGCACGTATGAAATAACCACTAAAGGGGTTTGGTAAAAGTTAGTGGCTCAACCTAACCAAGGAAAAAATCAAGCACAGCTTTTTGTTGTGTGCAGTGTAACTGTTGACAGGATTTAAGAACAAACCACAGAGCTGGAGAAGAGTGAGCATGGTTTATGTATGAATCTATGCACCTGCGAGTGTGTGTATCTTGCTTTGCTTGTGTAATGTTTGCATGCATCCATGGACCTTAGTGCGTCTGCACACTCTCGCTCCGAGGCTCTGGTCAGACAGCGCATAGCTGTGGTGGGACGCAGCCTAAGCTCCTCTAGACGACACTGAGTCAACATTGTCTGCGCACACTTTGAGGACATGATAGGTCTTGTCTCATTTGGTCCTTGACCTCGCATGGCATATGTAATTTTAAGTCAAATTAGCTAAATGTAGAACAACATCCGCTAGTGTTTCAGCTCACTCAAAGGGTGTTGTTTGTGACAATCCTCTCAAACACAGTTGGACTTTGTTTGGGTCTTGAATCATAACTTGGCTTTTTGCCCATCAAATGATGCATAAAATCCGGCCAAACGTACTTATGAAAGATTAAAAAAGGGCTCTATATAAACAAAACACACCCACAAATCTTACCTCTCTCCTATCAATGTGGCTTTTATGGCAGTGCTGTTTTTATTTCAAATAGAAAAAAGTCAAAAGAGAAAAGTAAATGTAGCATTTCTCCTCTTACACAACAACACATCTATCAAAAAAGTATATTCACATCATTGTTGGTGGCATTTAAAATTGGTAAGAGATGCAAAATGTTGAACAAGCCATACCTGTAAAAAAAAAATGTAAAGAAAGCACACGCATGGTTTCATTTCTCAATGGAGAAACAGTTTATGTGGATCTAGACACAAAACCATGTGGTGTTTGTTTGAAATGCATGTTTGAGTCCCATTTCACAGCTCACTTATACCATTTGAAACATATTTCTCTTTGTGTGGACTTTGGATATCCACCATGTGTTTGTCATTGTGAACTGCAGGATAAGTCTATTCTGAAATGTCCAATTCCTTCCTAATTCATTACAGAATAACAGCTGGGGACTGGCTTCTATCCCAGCACATATTCACTCACAGTAGTGGAGCTTAGGGGGATAGCTAGCTGATGGATGGGGGGGAATGCCCAGACTGAAAGACTAGGCTGATTTTCATGCATGGATATTAGAAACGACCCTGTTTTTTTAGCCCTGATCAAGTGTGATCGAAAATATGTGGGCGTCGAAGTCACGATGCAAAACCACACCAGTGGGATCACCAACCCGCGAGTGTGTGCTGGTGTGTGCCACTGCAGTCTGCTTCTGTTTCAGTGCCAAATAGCCCGATGATATATTAGTCCTGTGTTGAATAGTCGGGTGTAGATTACAACATTTTATCTTCGGTTGTTCGGCCAAATCCTATGCATGGTGGAGGATTTATTTTGGTTGATTTTTGACTGAATTCCCAGAAATATATGACACAATATTGACTTTGTTTTAAAACCTTGGAAGAAAGCTCCACCCTGCAGCAAAGTTTCCATTCAAGTACGCATGTGAGGTGTGATTCAGCAGTGAAATTGCTTGCTGCAGGTGGGCCATGCAATATTCCCACTTTTAGATTTTAAAATATTCTCCATTTTGAACAGTCCTTTGACTCCTTAGAAAAATGTGCTAAACCCAGAGGTCAGAACTGTGTAAATTGGGCTGTGCGGTGTGTGGGTGGTTTCAGCTCAGCTGTAGGTATGAGGAGTGGAGCTGTGGTTCAGAGAGCAGAGGCAGGTGAGATTGTGTTTGCCTGCATATGCAAGAGGAAAGAATATTTTACATTTTAAAGGTTTTGATAGTCAGCAGGATACAGTATACAAAATGGTTGAGTAACTGTGTTCACATGGCACTGAAACAAATCAGTGTACTGTGCCCGTTTGACCTAAACCGGGAAAAAAAAAAAACTTGGAAAAAAAAGAAGAAAAAAAAGCTAACTCAGATCTGAGGAATCTGTTACCGATTCCAAAACCAAGGTCAAACGGGTGCGAGATCAGAATCAGAAACTGTTTTTCATGTAAACAGTTGCATGTCACTTTGGATATAGTTGTAAACCTAAAAGATTGTTGTTGATATTCCCAAATATTTGGCTCGTCCAAGACTGTGTGAATTCTTTAAAGCATGGCATTCCTCTTCAAAACTGTTGTCCCAAATTGCTACAAAACTAGGTTGAGAGGGAAATTAAAGTTATGCAACTTTGTTTTAAAAAGCCAACCGTTTTATGGTTTGGTGGTATCCCTCTGGAAAAGGCGAGATGCGTCATAAAACAGCACCAAAAAAAGAGGTTCATTTTCTGATTTAAATCTGCAATGACTCCTAAAAAGCCACCAAATTCGCTTTATAGTTACAGTACAAGATTGAAACCAGAGGAAAGTGATTTCTTTGCCATTACCGAATTGTTTACAATTAAAAATCTCCCTGTAGACCTAAATCACACTTTAAACTACTTGTTTTCATGGACACTGGAGAGTGTATTTAGCTTTGTCTCGTACAAGTTAAATGGCCCCTGTCTGTCTGGCACATTTACTTCCATGGCGTATGTTATTCACCATTTGGAAGAGAGAACATGTTTAAATCTGCACTAAATTGTTCAAGAATTTAACGCTCTTTAGAAAATATATGCATGGGTTGTGACTGACTCACACAGGACCCGTCAAAACAACTATAGCATTTAATGAAAGATCCTTGGAAAAAACATTTGTTTGCCACTCAACACAAGACTGTTGAAAGGAAACATCTTAATAACCCTTAATCAAAAGTACATCTTACTTACAACAGACA